AATAAATCATTGTGAGCTAAATGCCTAAGCATTCCCTATTAAGCACCAGACCTAGATAAAACTGGCAATTAGAAATAATGTTACACCCATTTCAGTAAACGTGACTAAAAGATTTCGGTCATTTTATTCGCAAAAATATCTCCGTTTAATTCCATGTAAAGTACTCAAAATAATTAGTATGGAATCTGTACCTAAGGACCACTTTGACTTTAACTGGTCCTTTAGTACAATTTGCGATTTTGTACTATGAATATGAATAAGTATTGCTTATTAAGTACAGTTTCGGCTCTAGTAATAATATCCACTAGTTGGTACATTTTCATTGTGAGTTACAATTACGATAAACATAATTATCACTACATACCTTAAAATATCATATTTAAACATTTAAAAAAAATCATATTTAAGTTTTGGCTGCACGGTTAGTGCGGTGGCTGGACAACTGGCTATCGCGCAAAGTGTTGCGGGTTCGAAAGTTAGAGTTGGATCAACTCTTTGTGTGATCCACAAATTGTTGTTTCGGGTCTGGGCGTGATGTGTATGTGAACTATGTTTGTAAACGCACCTACGACACAGGAGATAAACCTAGTGTGGGGCAATGTTTGAAAAAAATAGAAAAGAATAGACTTATTACTTTTAAATTCCCAAACGGGTAGGCATAGATGCAGATATATATTCAATGAAACTCGACCTGTTATGTTATTAGTCCCATATAATAAGAATTGGACCATTACCATAGACTGACAATCCCAGACTAGCTACTAATACTGAGATGTTTTTTCAAAGAACCGACCACAGTGTAATACTTTGCCCAATCCGGAAATCGACCCCTTCCACGGTAGTCGCACTTGTGACAAATCGATTAGAGAGCAAGCAGGCGAAGCACTCTTTATCGTGAGTTCAATCATTAATTACATTTAAGTAATCTGGTCCGACAAATGTCAAATACTAGGTCTTAGGTCCATATTTATATTCCAAACAATGTTCAGGTAAAGTAAATACTTATTTTGAGTAGGTCTAGGTACTTAGACTCCCACGCTTATATATTATAATAATGACTAAAATAATGGCCTTCCAGCCTTTTCTTCAGTCGGTACTAGTTACCTAATTGATATTAAATAAAATAAAGTGTCATGAGATTTGAAGTTTCTAATATAACGGCTTTAATCCCCGAAGGGATAGACAGAGGTGCACATTACAGCACTTAATGCCACTGTACAATGTAACACCCACTTTCACTATAGAGGTAATAATAATAATAAAAACGTTTATTATTATTAGCTTCAAGCCATGTTCTTAAGCAGCATTCTGCGATAAGCGACGCGGCGACTGTCGCGGGACTATGTCCTTATGAGTTCCTTGTCAAACAATTTCGTGTGTATATCAAAAACATAATAATTAATCTACTCATTCTACTTAGAAACAACTCCCTACTTCGAACTGACACAACTTAGAAATACCACCATACTTTTATTTCTAATCACAAAACAGGAGAAGACTTATCTTCTCCACTCTCATACACAAAAGTAACTTCCCAACTAGAACACATGTGTAAATTCGCATCATATTAGCCCATTGTCCACTCCACACTTTAGACTCATACGTCCCACTAAATCTTGCAAATAACTAACATAGTCTGTGGACATTTGTCTCAACCAGGTCTGTGATGAAATTCCTTCGTAACAACACATAACGGACACATTTGTTGGACCTTAAACCTTATGTAATGTAAATAACATCGTTTTGTGACATAGGTAAAGTAATTTGAGACGTGAATGTGATGTTTTAAGGTTTTGAGTTGGGATTGATATATTGTACACCGTTATTGATGTGGCCATTTTATTTAAAGTGGAAGTTATAATAGTCTTAGTCTTTTTTAAATATAGATACATATAATTACAGTGAATATTGTTCTTCTATTGTAAAGGAAATGTAAAACATAAATTAAATGAAGTTTCTATATGAAAATGATACATTGACTAAGCATTTTCCTCAATATATAAATGTAGTTTCTTCTGAAGCCATGTAAACTTCAAAGGCTAAATAAAAACGAACAAGTAATTACCTAGTTGTAGTATAAACTTAAAGCTTTGAAATTATGTAGATATTTCTATGTAAGTTATAATGAAATAAGAGATTCTAATTATTCTGTACTTATTCAAGAAAAATCCGGATTCATTTTAATTATTTGCAAAGAAAACATCTAGTGTTGCCAAACGATTTCTTTTTACGCTCAAGTCTATAAAGATTTGAGTAAAAAATACATTAATTTTGAAAGAGCTCCAAGAGGAGTAATAGTAATTAACTTATTTCACAATCTTTTACGCTCACCATTCTTTAAACATTCTTCCTTAATTTTTACCTACTTATCTTTAATAAGTAAGTGAGGAATATTTAATATCTAAGTAACTGAGAGAGTGTTATTTTTGTACCGAGACGTATTTCGTTTGCGAAGATTTTTGCGGACGAAAGGACCAACCTTTGTGGGTGAAATTTAGGCATATGTTATAATAAATATATCTTTGTATTACAACTTCCGTGCACTGTTACTGGGTTGTATTCTCTAGAATGACTTGAAACCAGTCATGTTCCTCGTCAAACATAATAATTAATTTAAAACTCATGAATCTGGGAAAAACAAAACTAAACAAATAAAATATCGAGACTTAGCTCACGACGTTGTCGATATGTGGAGTGCAGATTCGGCTATCAATGTGCCGATAGTCGTGTCAGCCCATTGGCCGTTGGTTAATCCCTAAAAGCCTCGACATCCATCTTTGGAGGCTGGTGTTAGGTGGATGGATCAAGGGCCTGATACAGAGAGCAGTTCTCTTTGAAACGGCTCGTATCATGAGGAAGCCTTAAATAAATTTAACATAATAATTTTAAATAAATATATGAAATGCCATACATAACATCACTCCTTTTGTCCCCGAAGGGGTAGGCAGAGGTGCACATTACGGCACCTAATGGACATATAACAACACTTCATATAATAACACGCACTTTTCACTATTTATGTTATGAGTCCCTTGTAATAGGGGGTGAGCCGATTGCCATATACCGTCCACATTTCCAGACTCCGTGCTACTACTGAAAAATTTTAAAAACCCAGTAATACTTTGACCGACCCGGGAATCGAACCCGAGGCCCCTTGCCTGGCCGTCGCACTTGCGACCACTCAGTCAATGAGGAAGGCAATATATGAAATTAAATAATAATAATTAACACGCACCCACATATGTTTTAACAGAAATAGTTTCTAATATAAACACGATTAATTTTCGTTCTAAGTTGAAGTTAGTGCTAAAGTTGGGAAGTTAGCACGTGTAGTATCAGATATAGGTCTTAGACCTAAGACCTAGAAGTACTTAAGATCGTTACAAAGATATCACAGATTGGTTTAGGTCGGGTCTTGCGTAAATCATCTCTTTTCCTTGAATATGTATATTATGTGCTAAGGCATTTAGATAGGGCTTATTTAGGAATGAAGGACCAGAGTCGAATTTAAAGACCGATATGTAATTTATTTTATTGAGTTTCTTTTTAAAAGTTTGATTTAGTTTTTAAATATTTTTATCTTGGCTAAAAAAGTAAGTAAATATTCAATGGATGGAAGTGTACTTTACCAAATTATATATATTTATTATTTAAAACTGTTATTGAAAGTTACAAAAATATTTTAACACAATCCATTTAATTACTCGAAACCTATTTTAATATATCAAATGAGTTTCAAAATAATACTGACTCGATAGTGCAGTAAAACTCACGTTCAGTAATAAAATAAACTCAAAACTTGTATAATTACTTTAAGTTTAACTTAAGTCGTAATAAACAGCTGACTCGATATACACACGCTATATTTCAACTTAAACTCAAGAATGACTGTTAAAACTTTACTTTAACTTATATTAAGATGCAATTAATTTATTATTTTAATTGATAGGTACTGTTGTAATAAATCTAGTTTTTTAATTATATTTATTATACTCAGCATCATATTAACACGTTAACCGCCACGTAGGTTACTGATGGCCTACGTTAGCAGAGGATTTGCCTTCAGCAGTTTTTTGTCGGCAGTCAAAGGTACTCATCATAATAAGTAATGTAATCCGTCATTATACTAACACGTTTTTTTTCCAAAAGCAACTATTTAAAAAATTAGTGATAATGAATTAACTTCAATCAAGTAGTTAGAAAATAATTGAAAGGCATAGTGTGTTTTAAGATTTCCACTAACCATAATTCTCTAGTAAAACACGGACTTGGATGATATTAACAATGGCTCTAATAATATCATAATATTAAGACAAAAGTAACTTTTGATTAAATAAAAATAAACATTAAGTGACTTCACTTCTTGTAAAGTTTTCGAATCTAATGCATCTGTAAACTTTATTTTATTTTCGCAATAACAAACCTAGAGGCTACAAAAAGTTCGCCCTTGAACATGATTTGATAAGAAGAAAAACTAAACACGACCCAAATGCTACTTAAGTTTACCCTCGACCTGTGTTAAATTATCAACTGACTTGACCTAACCAAATTATTTGTGAACTTGGTTGTAAAAATGTACTGAAATGAAACGTGATCGATGTACAAATGTGAAATTTAAAAAAGTGAAATGAATTCACAGAATTCATCAAACAGTGTTATATTTTATTACAAAATATTCCAAAATGTCCGCCTTTTCACTGGACATATTTTCCAGGAATTTCGAGTGTCAGCCGAATTTCTGAAGCGTTTGTAACATGAATATCCTCTTTGTAACAAGAAGCTCTTTATCGTAAAAAATTTCAATCTATTTACAATCAACAAGATAAATTGAAATCTTTTAATCGAAGCCAAATCACAACAAATATAAAACAAAGTCCCAAAGAAAATTTTCCGCTTGTAAAGAACGAAATCTGTGAAGGCCCTTTAACTAATTATACAAAATTTTCCTCATTCATACAGCTTTTCTCTCATCTTTACTCTCTTATCATAATCTCACTTACCTTTACAAATCCTTTAATGATTTAACGTCGCACGTTGAAACACATTTATTTTAATTCTTTTTGAAACACTTAAAGTAAAATTTGTACACTCTGAAAATGTAACACGATATTACGATACGTAAGACGTATTTCGCGGGAAGGTCGCGCGCGGCCGTTCCCTCTGGCAGCCAGCTATCGACTGTCACAACTGGTCAACACAACGTGGGAGCCCGAGCTGCAGTGAGGAGTACGCATGCGTGGTGCAACTAACTCTTCTCTCAGAGCATCTTACTACTCACCAAAACCACATACATGTAGTTTACGTAATTTTCGATCTTATTTACATGAGTTAAGGGTGTTTGGTGATGTGTTAGTAAAGTATGCAGGTATGCAAACGGCGTGAACCGTTTAAAGAAAGTTTAGAACCACATGTCGGCCCAAACGAACTCGCTCGGAGTGAAGTTGTTGTTCGTTTTAATGAATGAAATCTGTGCGCGGACGATGATGTCTCGCAATCTTGCCCCGGTTTGTATTTCGGGGCGATTTCTTTATTGCTATGTATGTATGTATTATCGTTGGTTAGAATATTTATAAAGACGGTATCTAGACAATTTAAAAATACTGTTTCAATTTGTGATATTAACTTTTGTTGGTTTTGTATACCTCTATTGGTAGTATTAAATTCGTTTAGTTACCATTAACGATGATTAAGGCTTTGACTGCCAATAGAAAACTGTTGAAGGCAAATCCTCCGCTAACGTCGGTCACCGGTGACCCCCATGGCGTTTGATGCGTTAAAGTAAAACATTTTTTCTATAAAAATAATGTTGGTCCTTTGGCATACTAGTAACGCTATGAAAAAAAAATTATAAATTAAATATTGCTTTATGGTTCATCAATCAACTGAACTCAATAAAATAAATCATAATATTTGTCTCAAACGATTACAACTAACGTAATCGACCACGTCACAATGAAAAATTCGCGATGGGTCATTTAAATATTTAATTACATTACGAATTCCACTTCCACCCCAAGAGACGATAATACACTTAACTGCATTTTATAAACATGGTGCCTTAGTACACTCCGTCAAATTTAACGCTCTAGGGGTTCTAAAAGACCCCCTTATATTCAAAATCGCGGAATGTCATAGGGGTTAAGTGCTATAGATTTCGCACCCCTATATCACACCCTTAATGCAAGCTATGATCTATGGGGTTGTACTCCGAACTTAGGGGAAGTTCCGCTGGCACCTCATTAGCTGCGTGGGGTGATGATATGAATTTTTCTATTGAATTAAAAATGATCTCCCTTTGTAATTACAGATATGAATAATTTATTGATGTTGCTCGCTTTATTTCGTGCTTTTGAAGACAAAAATGTTATTAAAAATGCTTAAGAATTGTATATCTGCTACAACATACGAGTGTTTGTGCTTATATGCAGATTTTTTCTAAATTAATAACAATTTCATCAAAATTATATCGTTGGCAAAGACAGATTTTTTATGAAGAAAACTTTCGTAAATTAACATCTAGGCCCGAGATGGAATTCTTCACGAATGTTTGTTTGTTAATATAGAAAACAATTTCATTATTTATTACGAATGCTATACAAAAGTAATACGCATCTATTGTCTGTGGAAGACAGGTACAATCCTCCAATAATTTGCCATTTCGTAGCCACTTTTTTCCTCTATAAACAGAATAGGTCATTATTTGTTTCAGTAAGTCTTTGGGGAAATAACGCAAGAATGAGGGTAGATGAGAAAAAAAAGTAAAAAACAATACAAATGTTTTGTCTGCCTGTCTGTGTCTGTACGTTTAGCGTGGTACCGTCGATAGGAAAAATAGATGAAGTCATAGAGAAGATAGTAAATGGAAGACTATCTTTAAAGTCTTAGAAGTCTATAAAATATAAAAGGTATTCTTTTACTTTCTAAAAAATCTTTAAATTCATGCTAGCTTTGAATGTATTGAACTTGTAGAAGTCGTAATAATCAAAGTCAAAGCATTTATTTCAATTAATACTTAATTAGGCACTTTTGAAACTTCAAAAAGTGAATTGTTCGCCCGTCTGTCTGTCAGTGAAGCTAGGCCTAATATTCCGTAAGTACAATAAAAGAACAGCAATAATCACAAAGATATGCCTATGTTCAGCAGTTGACGTTTTATGGAGATGATGATGTTGATGAACAATCATAGTGTACAATACCGTATTAAGTTAATTATCTTTGTCATTCTATTAATAGAGTGAAGTTTAAAAAAAATATCGATCATTTAATGCTTTCCGAAACTTTATAAATCGTATACTATTATGATTATTGTACTTACTGAAAGTGACTCATAAACCAACGACTAGGCTCTCATGAAACATAAAAATAACTGCTTTAACAGTTTCAAATCGAGGTTTTTATTACAACGACGTGCACACTCCATTTATTCACTACTCCTTGTCGTCGTTTTGGAACGGAAGCCCGATCACATCCTGTGCTGTTATTTTTTCTTTATTGATGCAATTTCCGTTTTTTTATATAAAACTATAATAATTTAGTGGGTGCTGTGTAGTCTTTGAAAAGCTCTGTTTAGATGAGAAGAGAGGGTATATTATATGTAAAAAAAAACTTAGAGGCAAGGTATGAAAATCATCATGTTTCTTGCTAAACATATCACTCTTTTAATGTTTACTACAAAGTAAATTCCTACTAGGTACTTTAAAAAGGCAAGCAAGCAATTGTCAAAGATTTAAAAAGTAAATAAGTATTACGTTAAAATACGTTTTGTAGTACTATGCATACTAATTTGATAATTACCTGTAAAATCAATTGTAGGAAACACACACAGAATTTTTGACATTCAAAATGCTAAAAATTATTTGCTTACCAAAAGGCACGTCATAGTACGAATAACAGATAATAAATATCTATTACATAATTCAAGTTAAGAGAATTTATCACGACATTCGATATGAAATGTAAGATAAAATATTAAAAGTGGACCGCTATATCTTAACATTAGCGGAGGAAACGCTTCCCCCGAGCCCTCTGAACTATTCATATGCATTTTGTTTTAAATAAAACATTTTATATGAATTGGATTGTAAGGCAATAAATATTATATGACATGGCGCGTTTGAAGATATGAATCGTTAGTTTTATTGGTTAGTATTATAGGAGAAAATTATATAAATATGTACTTGCCGATCCAATTCCAATAATATGTGTATTTGCAATTAACTAAATACATTTTCTTCTAATTATTATTATGTTTTCGGCTTACTCACGTCGGCGCGACGTCTGTCGTGCTGCAGTAGCAGCGCGGGTCACAGAATGCTGCTCATGAATATGAGCCTCTAGCATGGCTTGAAAGTAGTCGAGTTCCTTGTGAAATAATTACATGAGTAAGCCGAAAACTTAATAATTAATTTGGTATGTCTCACGTAAGTTATAATACAAATATTTCCTTCTATTTGAAATCAATCCATAATATTATAATGAGTATACATACATAACTTCTCTCTCCCATGGAGGTCGGCAGAGACTATGGAACGCCAATATCTCTTTCGCTTCGCCAACAGTCATCAGTATATTCGTGCATCCTCTTCGGATAAGGGAACGTTTTATTTTGGCCTATTGTATTTTTAATGAGTTATTTATATTTAATACATTCAAAAACCATTTAAATTTAACGCTTTCCTTAAACATTTAAAAATAGGCTGTACATTTCAAGGCCCAAATCATCGTTTAGTACTGAACTGAAGCGTCTTTGAAAACGCGCCATTAAAATGTAAAAGTCGACGCGCAATACAAATAAACTGTCTTCGACCCACGACACTGCGTCAGGCGACAGGACGAAATGAGCGAGAAATGAACGGAGCGGAGGCAAACTAGGAACCTAGATTACTTCGTCAAACTTAATGGCGACTGATGAATATTTGTTCTTATTATCGCTTAGTAGATTCATGAAGTAAGATTTAAATATACATGTTGTTATAAGTCCAAATTCGAAAGCTTTTTGTACATTATAAATAAACTAGCGACCCGTCCCGGCTTTGCACGGGTGCAATATGTATGTATTATACATATAAACCTTCCTTAAGAATCACTTATACCTATAAAAAAAACCGCATCAAAATCCGTTGCGTAGTTTTAAAGATACATCGACAATACATACATAGGGAGGGAAGTAGCGTACATTAACACATTAAATCCCATGTCTTATTTATTGATAAAGTCGTTAAAAACCGTTGCCATTAGTCCAGATGGAGAATTCCTAAGAGAAGTTCACTACTTTCAGGTAATGTTTAGCTTAGCTCATTTCCCAGTATAGCGTGAACTTATGAACCGAAGATCTAATTCTTTAATTATAAAATGCAAATTGAAGAAAATCTGAGGCGGCAATCAATGCGTCCCACGGGCCGTTTATGGGGTGGAAACCCGATAGGCGGTAAAACGCACAGTACCAACTGTTCGCGGGATTAGCTCGGGGAACGAAGACGTGCCTATGACTCAACTCATCACTAAAATGGTTGAGAGAAACGAAGAATTTAAAATTTAGATTTAGGTTTGTTTAATATCTAGATACTATAGTGTTTTATCCGAAAATGTCAGTTGCTATAGTCGTACTAGGCCTGTTTTACTATAACTATAACATCACGCCTTTTATCCCCGAAGGCGTAGACAGAGGTGCACATAATACCACTGTACAATGTAACACCCACTTTTCACTATTTAAGTTATGAGTCCCATGTAATAGGGGGTGAGTCTAATGCCATATACCGAGAACAATTCCAGACTCCGTGCTACTACTGAGAATTTTTTTTAAAACCCAGTAATACGTTGCCCGACTCGGGAATCGAACCCAAAACCCCTTGCCCGGCAGTCGCACTTGCGACCACTCGGCCAACGATGCAGTCCTGTTGTAGTAGGTAAGATTTTTTTTTCATTCATAAAACAGTTCACAATCGTCCTAGCTTTTCATTAAAATGAAATAATCCCAACATACAGATATAATTAAATTGACGCATTTTAAATTCAAATTTTACGCTGTTTCCATTGACCATATTCGTCATTTTCAACAGTTTTACTTATGTAAGCAACATAGAATCATATACCAGCATAATCCCAAGCACGATCCATGTTTGATTACCCTACTATT